TGCAAAGTGAGCAAAGGCATTGCTGAAATGCGACGGAAATGTACAGGCGGATAGGAGCAGTTACGAATATAAAATTGCTCACCATATATTGCTCATTGGGGAGGGTTGCGGAGAACGTGATGCATGCATGCGCCTGTCACCCGCATGTATGTCGGTGTGTTGTGTGTGACGTTATTATGATGGTGTATGATAACTTGTGCTGCGACATTCTTCGCTATAGTCTAGGCGGTTAGGATACGAGATTCTCACTCTCGAGACCCGGGTTCGAGTCCCGGTAGCGAAAGAGTGGCGGAGCGGGATGCGGCTATCCTGTCTCTGCAATGAGTGCCTCCGTCGACATCGTATAGTGGTCAGTATCCCCGCCTGTCATGACATCATCCAATCATGGATCGCGGGAGGCCGGGGTTCGATTCCCCGTGTCGGCGAAATAATATGCTCATGCGACGTACCGTTACCAACATACCTTCCGTTAAAGAACTTGTATGTATGTACATGCTTGATGTTCATATCGATCATCATTTTGTAACACTCGAAAAAAGTCGAGCAAATTGCACGGCAGGGATGCATGAAGGTCTGTTGCGTTTTGGTGTACACAAACGTTATCGGCTGGGTGCACGTGCACAGCATGACGAGGTGGCCGAGCGGTCTAAGGCGCTAGATTCAGGACTACCTGGTTCAGACCAGGATGAGACATTTCTAGTCCGTAAGGGCGTGGGTTCAAATCCCACCCTCGTCAGCCAGGAAGAGTGCGGAGGGGGACGTCTTGCACTCAAATCTTATTATTAAGGTGTGGTGGAGACCGCTCGGTAAATACACACATCTCCTTCAAAAGGCGAGCGAGGTTTACTGATATTCAGTAGGCTGTCGAGGAAGCATACGGGGCTACTATGGTGCATCCGCGGCATGTCGTACCTGGCTCCCATTCGTGAAGTGGCCTTGTGCAATAAGATTACAGTTATTGTTCATGTGGACATCCTATTCACACGCATGCTAAGTGTACACACATAGCTCTTCCCCCACTCATCAGGCTTATCATGACTGTTTGGATCATGTGCTATGTATAATTATATAATGCACATATGCATGCTCATCATTTCGTTGTTTGTGGAAGTTGAAACACGTGAACCAATTTAATAACTTGAGCCAGGCACAGGTCACTATTGTTCCTGATGTGATGGGCTACCAGGATACAGGTATGCATATGGGTAACAAGCCCAACCAGAAAGACACTTGATTCCAACACTTAAGATGGAACATTC